GTAAAAACATTCACGTCACTAGTTCCTGGATATCTAAGATTTAGAGCATTATTTTTGGCCTCTGTCACATTCTTAGATCAGATTTTTCACACTCTGCCCATAATGTAATAAGGTACAGATGTGCTGTTGTCTGATGTGTTTACAAGAATTTACTTTTGGACTCTAAAGAAATATTCAGTTAGGTTAAAAGCCCTCTTGGTGTCTTCTGTGGTCCTTGTAGGCACGCTGACAGAATAGTGGCAACCAGTCTGTGCCATCAGCCCCTCCCACCACCAACCATTCTCACACACACACCAGACTCATTCTAATGTCGGTGAAGTGTCTTGCTTAAGGACAAAACAACAGTGTGGCTCTTTACGGCCGGAGCTGCCCCACTGTGGTTCCCAAAGGTCTCCCATGACAGCACGAACCAGGCTCCATTCTGCTTAGCTTCAGAGGTCTGAGCTTGTACGTGTAGGTATGACCACCTTGGCAACACGTTTAACCCAGTAACAGGGTCGAAACATAACTCAAACAAAAACATTTTCTCCAGCTAGCTTATGTTCAAATCAGCTTCTAACACGTTCAGATAACACTATGGTGATGTCACACTCGGTCAGTCCGCTTCTATCATACGCACTACGGTTCAGGAGTTATAACAGGTGAAAAGAGTTGTCTGAAAATCTTGAGAAATGTTTGCAAAATCCATCGGAAAAACAACATTTATTCCGTGGAGGTCGTCAGGGCAGTTATTGGTGTCATGCAAGAAATCACAAAATCCCAATTGCACTTTAAGGCTTTTATTTTTTTTTATTAAATTATGTCAATCATGTCCTTCCTCCTTTCCACCATGTGAGTGGAGACATCAAAATAACAGAAAATTGTATAATTCAGAGATGATACAAACCGTTTTTCTTCAGACAGAGAAAAAAAGGAATTGATTGAACTGTAAACATGGATAATATTAATAAACGTTTGATAAAGTTAAAAAAGTTGATAAATGTAAACCTAAATGCAAAAGAGAAAGAGGGGTAAATATGTTTTTTTCTCATTTGACCCAAGTCTTGTGTCTGTTATGTTTTGTGTGTCTGTTATAAATCTACAGATAATGTCAATGTATGAGCTCCAAATGAACTTAAACTTATCTAAAGAATCACTCAGGAAACCTCAAAGAAGTTTCCGGACGACAGAAGCTGCTAAATGTGTGAATGACGTAGATCCAGTCATTTCCTGAACCTCAGCGCTCTGCTCTTTATGTAGATTCAAGATTCAAGAATTTATTTGCCATTGGCAGTAAAACCACATTGGAAAAACTGTGCAAGAGTCCCCCAGTGTGCACCAGAGAGAGCAGATGGTACACACCAGAGCTTTTGCCTCTTGAAGCGCTCAAAAAGTCATGTTTGATTGTGTTGAAGTGTGAGGAAAGTGTTACTCTCACCGTTAAAGGAGCAGTATGTAAAAATGTGGCAAAAGGTGGTAATGCAGCCTCTCCCACTCTCCCTGACTCAGGTTGCCAGATATGCAGACGAATCCAGCTGGGACCATAATATCTGAATAGACAAGACAAGTTCTGGCAACCCGGATCACAGACTTTCTGATTGGTAAAATGGTGGAGGGCGGGACATGGAAATGAAAACTAATTTTGAAATTCTAATAACTCTGAACTACTGTTATCAGTTAAAGAAGTATTGGAAAATGTGTTTCCAATACTTGTTTTTTATGTGTTTTATTAATGCTTTTTGACAGATCCGGGCCCTTTAATGATGTCTTGACATGAAAATTTTACATACTGTATTGCTACTTTAAGGTTAAGGTTAAGGTTGATTATTCTCAAACATTGGAAAACACCAAAACATTCAACAAATTAACCCTTTAGGCGCCACAGTTGACTTACAGGTTTATTGGAAGATTTTCCAAAATGTAAGGAAATAACCGCCCTCTCCACATTTTAGACCAAACTCTCTGGTCTTTTGGACAAGCACGTATCACCAGAATGATTGACAACTGGGAGGACCAATAGTCTTGATGATCCACCCGGAAGTAGACAATCCTCCTGTTTACCTTTAACACGACAATGATACTGCAGGTTGACAGAATTCATTCAAACTCCAGCCACACAATGATTCACACTCTTAGTTTCCCTGATCCTGGAGTGTGGCACAGTGTGAATTCTGTTTGTGTTTTCATATCCAAGAGAATTGTGTCTGTCAGTAAACAAACATACATATTTCATGAAAATCCACAATTGCCACGCCCATATGAAGTCATTATAAGATAATTATATGGGTACTTTGGGCCATCCTTATTATTTCTCTAATTTACACAAAGCTCTTTTCACGTAAGTTATCAAGAAATGAACTTCTCTGCTCTACTCTACTCTCATTTACTCTTCCATGAGCCTCTCAGGAAAAAAAACCTCTGTTCTCAAAGGTTTCTGTGTTAAATAGATAAAGATTAAGAGATGAAGAGGTCCTTTAAGTGTCCCACAGTCGGGGAAATGTTGCATCATCAGTTACACAAC